TAAACAAACTAATTACTTTTTCAGAAATCAATCTACTATAATGAGGTGGGGGGGGGGGCTAAAACTAACATTCCAAAATGTGACCAAACAGGTTTCTTAAGGGCTTCTTGATTGGACAGAAAGCTTCATAAAAATTTGCATCAGACAAGATGAATGATAATATATGTAAATTATTAAAAAATAAGGAAAATCATTTAATTGAAGTGAATGGAAATGTTGAAAAATTATTACATTTATCTGATTATATAATAATGTAATCAATTTTGTTGTCAGTTACAAAGGATTCGTTGGGAAGTTCAGTGGCATGAATAAAAAGGCCCCAAGTTCAAGTTGCCAGGAAATATCAACTTAAAACCAAGGCTGGTTTAATTAAGGAGTAATAGTAAATAATAATAATAGTTATTAATAAAAAAAACAAAAAAAACCTTACCTTTGATAGCACTTTAGGATTTCCCACAATAATAATGCCATAGCTGAAAAGGAGGAGGAAAAACTAGAAATGATGAACAGCAATTAACAAACAACCATCATATCATGTGCAGAAGGGTTGTTTTTTGTTTTGTTTTTACCCAACTAAAAAAAAAAAAAAAAAAAAAAAAAAGGTGGGAGGTAGAGTTGAAGCAAGAATGTGTGTGCATGTATTTAAAGCACTAATTATAAATAAAAAACATCTAACAAAACTAATATCTTCCTAAATATGCAGATCAGTTTAGAAAGAATTGTTCCCTAATGCTTACCACCTGATGAAAACTCAGTTGAGGAAACAACAGTACTGAATGTGATACTTATATTTTTAACTCAGGTGTTATACTGCAGTTTTGCATTGAATGCTTTTCATTTCTGCAATCTTCTCCAGAAAGATATGACATACTCCTAGCACTTTGGACATGCAGGTCTACATCCATTATTTATATACCCCCCCCCACACACACACACAAACACAACAAAGCGGGGAAAAAAATTATTGAAACACATTTTGTCCTTCAAGACTTACAGGGTAAAGCAGTGGTTCCAAACCAATTTTGAGCCATGACCCACTTTGGTATTCCCCCTGTAATATTTAATTTTCACATGTATGCCAATTACACATGCACATACAACATATTTTTATGTATGCATACTGTATATGCATTGTATGTATTAACATGCATTAATATTAACATTCTCACAGACTCACTAGAAAACAATTCACTGTTAATAACATTCACGAATTGACCCCTTATTCTGTTGGTATAGTAAGCCAAAGGGAGCCCATACTATGCATACCCCCCCCCACACCAAAATATTACCATGCACCCCATGTTGGGCTAAAGTGAGGTTTACATAATCAACATAAATCCTAAAGGACAAAGAAATTTTCCCAGTCCTTACTTTTTCTAACATTGTTCTTGTATATAAAAATTTATATATTATCTTCTCATTCATATATAACAGACATTACTACATAAAGCAGACAGGCAACTTGTTTACAAGTCGAGGCTTGTGTTAGCAACAACGGTTTCAATTTTTATTTCATCTTTATTGGGGGAGGGGAGAAGACAAATATCTGGAGATTTTTTCCACATTCATTCAGAAAAGGTTAAAACTTACCGAGCTCGAGTCAAAGCAACATTCAATCGTCGAGGATCATTCAAGAACCCAATTCCTTGATGCTCATTGGATCGGACACAAGACAAAATAATAAAGTCTTTTTCACGTCCTTGGAAAGCATCTACACTGGCAACCTCAATTTCCTTAAAAGAGAAAATTCTAAACATTCAGAAATACAAGAGAAACATTTCTTCAAACCTTTCCCAAAATAGGAACAAAATTGAAGAAGACGAGAAAAATCGTCAGTCACTAACTTTACAATCATTCTGCTTATTAAGTTTTATGTATTGTGCTTACATTCATTTATACAAATGGAGAGGGAGGGCAAGTAAAGAAATTAGAATATCACAAAACAAAAGGAAAGAAAGGAAGGATAAGCATTTAGCCAAAAAATTAAATCTATTAACAGTTGATAGTAGTTAAGAGTCATCCACTTTACCTGGTACAATTTCTTATTAAGGGCACCACTGTACTGCATATACTGCACCACATAAGCCCTCTGTCCTTCATATGGAGTAATGATACCAATCTGCTCTGGTTTGATGCTAGAGCGAAGAAACCTTGTAGCTATTTTCTCAACATTTGCTGCTTCAGTTCTAGAGAGAGAGAGAGAGAGAGAGAGAGGAAAAATTATTTTATGAAGTTTATGTCAAACATATTTTCTCTGAATATCAAAAAGGTAAATCTGCTTTATCTAATGGTACAAAAAGCAAATAGAACAAGTACAGAAGTATCCACCTGGAAATACTGAATAGAAATAAATAGGCAGTTACATACCTATTAAGATAAGATGTTCCAGAGCTGGAGATTTCTTCTTGGCCAGCAGTTGTGTAGAAAAACATTGGTTTATCAAGCTGAGGCCAGGGGAAGTCCAATGTCTTCCTGGTTCGCTCAGCTTTGAAGAGGGAGGGAGAGAGAGAGAAAAAAAAAATTACCACCTTAAATTTGATCAAAGAGATGTTTCTAACTACTGTCTCAAACATTACATTAATTTAGATCAAACTGACAGAGGGTTTTAAAGATACATTAAGTTATGATTTGAGGTTACACTTCAAAACATCTTACCAGCAGTGACTCCATTTTGTAGAGATCCTTCATAGAAAATGTTTGAGGGAAATGCACTCAGTGCAGGGTGCATACGATATTGGACTTGTAGACGAATGGGACGAATACCAAGGACCACAAGACGTTCAAAAAGTGACTGAGAGAGACCAGCACGGGCAGCCTTCTTGCACATGACCACTGGACCAAGCTGGCAATGGTCACCAACTAAAATCAACTGTAATCAAATGAAAATACACAGTAAAAACCCAATAACAGCCGCAAAAGAAAAAATGTATATAATTACAATCTGCTACCTTAAAAGCTCAGGGAATTACAGCATATAACAAAAATTAGTAATATGTATTTTAAATATTTATTCTGAAACAGGTCTTTAAATTCATTAATGCTCATTGTAAAAGTTGGTATTGAGATATATAAGGTTGTTGCATATATTCATTTGTTTTTTTTTCTAATGAACTTGAATAATCTTTCATAGCATTTTTTTTTTTGCTCAGTAAGCCTGGTCATCATGTAAAACTTGTCTAACATTATTGAAGTTTTATTTCAGATTAGACACCCCCCTTTGAGATGAAATCGCAAGCAGACAAGAATGAGCACATTAAACACATGCTTTTAATCAAGGTTACAAAGCAACCAATGCTAAGCTGCACATTAACAAATGAACAGAGGCTCTAAGAGGCATTTCAGCTGAAACGACTAGCAATAGTGATTATTCAACATGACAATGTTCTTCCCCATGTCACCAACATTACCAAACATGCAATTAAAGAGCTCGGTTGAGAAATTCTGTCACACCCACCATATTCTCCTGATTTAGCCCCTTCAGACTACCACCTTTTTTGGTTGCTTTTTAACAATTTGTGGAGTGTTTTGTTTAGCAATGATATGGAGATTAAAATATGGCTTGAAGTTTCCAAGTCAAAATCTAGTGATTTTTATTGTTGAGTGAATTGTTGGTAGAAGATTGTAAATAATGAAGGTGAATACATTGTTGATTGATTAATCAGAACTATTAATCAATATGTATTAAACAGAAAAAAAACAAACAAAACAATCCTTATACCAGGCCTCTGCACCAGGTTTAGGATAGGGGGCAAACCTAACACATGAATGTGTTGCTGAAATTGGATTAAGAAATTTTTTTTTTTTTTTTTTAAAGAAATTTTTACTTTGGATTAAGTTTACTTAAGATACTGAAGTATAATATTAATTTATTTTATTTGAACTTATATACTGTATCTTTAAAACTGAAATGCACAAATGTCATTAAGGATTAATAAGTTAATTTAAATTTAATATTTTTCTCTACTATTGTCCTTTAATAAGCATTAAGTGTAAAATTAATTTTTTTATGAATAATTTATGTTAACAGAACACTTATTTAAAAAAAAAAAAAAAAAAAAAAACCTCAAAAATAGACTGTTGAATTTTTCTGTCCTTCATAAATAAATAGAAGAGATTATTAAAAATGTAACATTTTTCACTGCAAAATCAATGAAAAATGACATTAAAAAAGTTGATTAGTTAATATTAAAAATTAAATTAACTAAATTTATTAATATTTTACAACTATTCTTAAAAATATACCACAGAAAAGAAAAAAAAAAAAAATGTAAAAGAAAGTGATTTTCTTGTCAATCTTTTTTTTTTTTTTTTTACATTTGTGATTATTTAAAACAGCAAAATTCACAATAAAAAATCATTAAGAATTTTGTCACAAAGCTACCTTAATTTTTTCTTTATGCTATTATTGTTAATAAATATCTTTATTATAAAATTATTTTTTAAGCAATAATTTGTGTTTTCTTTATACTACATTAAGTATGTTGATACTGTCTTTGTAACAAAAAAAAAAAAAAAAAAAAAAAAAAAAAGTAACTTTTTGCACTGGTAATTTTCCAAAATTACCATACAGAAATTTGCAATTTGAATAAAAATTTCATTTATTTTTTCTATTACATTATTCTTCATAAACACTGAAGAAAAAAAAAAAAAAAAAAAAAAAGTTTGTTGTATTTTACTAACATTGTTGTTAAAAATGTAAAACAAAATTAACCAGTATATTTAAAAAAAACAAAACAAACATACTGTAAAAATACTAAACTGGTTAATTTTGTTTAGATAATAACCACATTTTATGGAGGAGTAAGTCATCGATCCACCACTACCCATAAAATACCCAAAAATTTTAATGAGGGCAGTTAGTGCACTACATAACTTCAAAATAAAACAGACACTGATCAGTGAAACAATTTGGGAACCACGTAATTCCTTAAAGACAACAAAAATTAAAATAAGATGACAAATTCCCACATTCAGACAAACTTCAAATTCATTTTGAATCCTAAACCTTCCAGACCTTAGAATATAGATTCATACACTTTTTAGAAGCACCATGTAATAAAATGGTAGTTTTTTTTACAAAATAGCAGTTAATATTTTTTTTTTTAATTTCAGTACCCACAAAATCTTTCCAAATGGTCCAAAAGTACTGTGTAACAGGTTGTCATGGTAACTGATTAACAAAATATGGTTTGTGTATTTTGTCTGCCTCATGATCAACAAAAGCAATGGTTAAAGGCAACACCCTTGACAAACCAAATTCTGTGAAAGGCATTTTCTATCTGATTATGAAACAGTGGTTATTACAAGAGTTCGACCCAGAAATGCATCATCAATATTTCACCATTTGCCATCAAGTGTGTTACATAGTCCTCAACCAAAACCAACAAATAAAACTTCTGCTTCTGTGTGAAATGATTATAGTTTCTAGAAAAAAAAAAAATCTTCACTTTTGAAAATTTGTTATCAGAATATTGATCAACAGGTTTTTGTGTAAGCAGTTACATGCTATAAATCAAACAATCAGTTATTCATCCAATCTGATGATTTTTTTTTTTCTTTCCACTGGAAGTATTGAAATGTTTTTAATTAAAATTTTTTTGAAAACTTGACTCAAATGTTACCATGCTGGTATATATACAATTTTTTTTTTTCTTTCAAAAAGTCAAATATCAATGTTTCAGCACTGGTTGCAAACCACAGAGGCAATTTGTTATATTAGTAACTTAAAAATTGCTAAGGAAAAAAAAAAAATTTTTTAAATCAAGTACTCAGAGTTGGCCGATTTGGCAATTTCTGTTTCGTATCAGTTTCTGCCCCCCCCCATACTGTGGTTTTTAATTTAGTATTTTCGCTTTCTTATAAAGTCATTCATTTTTTGTGTGTAATGATAGCATTTCCAGTCAATATCTGATTTTGTTTGACATTGATAAATTTGCAACTCACAAACTCATGTATTTCTAGTCCAATCTTAAAAAATATTCATATGACTGGAAAGAAAAGAAAATAATCTTTCTAAATATGTAATGTGTATGTGCTCTCATTCATTGAATTATATTTTTACAGTGAATTAAAACAGTATTTTGCTTCAAACAGCCGACGATGTAAAAATTTTTTTTTTTTTTTTTAGACTAAATTTTACATGTTACTTTGTTTTGCAAAAATCAATGTGACCAACCTACATCAATATTCTTGAAATTGTACACAGAATCTTCTAATTTAGAAGACACCTTAAGCTACAACCAGGAAGATGTTTATTTCTTCTGACCTGTAAAAGCAAATTCCCTCAAAAATACAAAAATTATAAAGTAAACAGCACAAAAAAAAAAAAAAAAAAAAAAAAAAAAAAAAAATTAACTGATAGTATGTGTGGTAAAAAAAAAAACTTTCAAATTATTGAAACTACTGTGGAAAATAAATGCCCCATATACTTTTCAACTTTCGAATTGTTTTTGAAACATCTGTTATTGTGGAAGTCTTAACTGGTGCATAAGGGGTCAATATTTGGTTTTAAAGAGTAATAAAAATTTAGACATGCATTAAAGACCACTGGAATTGAAAACCCGAAAACGGTTAATCAGGGTGGGTAATAAAGTAGGAATTGTTCATCAAAAGTCAGTTTTTAGGCTTTAAAAGTTAATTTAGTCATAGAATTCATGACTTGGATTAAAGTTTATTAAACTTTTGAATAAATTGTCAACTATAAATAACTACCATATTTATTAACAAATTGGTAAAATACGAAAGAAATCATAGCATAAAATATCTATATTTGTGTCTTTGGACAACACATTTTTGAGAGAAAATAAAATGGTATAGCTCTCCAGAAATTAGGTTTATTATGTGGTTTTTAAAAAGCATTTATGGAAATAATTGTAAGATGTTTCCTTATATATATATATATATATATATATATATATATATATATAAAAGTTGCTAATTAACTAATAACTGGACATTACTCACAAGCCCCTTGCTAAAAATGTTCTCAGTAATTGAGATTTAGGCCTGTACATGTCTCCATCCCCAGTCATTGAAAACTAGCTAAATGGGTACCAGGCCTGGTATAAGAAAAAAAAAGTATTAATCATGTTTTTATCAATAACCCATTAATACGCATGGGTAGGGCAAGAGAGGGAGGGAGGGAGGGAGAAGTGGGTATTAATAGGTTAATTTCTGTGATAGATTCAAGAAAATTTACCTGTTTGCAACCCAAAACAACAGGAATCATGCATTCTGGTTCAGTTGCTTGGGTGCTTTCATCAATTAAAACTGAACGGAATTGCATCTTGGCCAGTCGAGGATCCCCAGCGCCAACACAAGTGCAGCAGATTACATCAGCATGCTGTATACAAAGAAAAAAAATTATTTAATTATACTGAGATTTAATGAGGTACCTTCATAAGATCGCTAAAACAGAGCATAGCAGGATGAAAAAGACACTAAACTTGACGAAAACAAATTTTATCGTCTAAATGCTTATGTTATTATTGAGAGAAAGATCAAGTTTATTTTAATTATTTTTAAAAAAAATTTTCCTTTTTAGAATACTCTAAATTTTGATTAAAAAAAAAAAAAACCCTTGTTTCTCTTTGTATCACCGGAACTAGTAAAATAACATAAAATTTTAGCATGTTTTTTTCTGTATGACACACATTAATTTGGAAAATCTTGCAAAAATAATTGTCGGATTTTAATGAAACTTTCAGAAACTATTCACAAATGATGGAACTTATTATAAATGTTTTTTTTTTTTATTAAAGTCATGGCAGAAATATTTTTTTTTCATATGTATTACCACCCTCCTAACTAATTGTACTAAAACTCTATAATTTCAATTTTGGGAAGATTAGTGATTATATTAATTAAAAGCACAAGGATTTGAGGAAACCAAATCATATTTTTTTTTTAGTCGGACCACCTCTACCTGAAAATCGTCTCCGTATTGTAACATACAAAACTCAATAAAACAAAAATATTATTTAATTTCAAAAGCTTTTAATTGCTTTTATTTATTTCAATGAACATGGACAATATTGTCTGAAAGCAAAAAGATATTTCGATGAAAAATGAATTTTTAAAACAATTTATTTCTGAAATATTTTAATATTTTTACATTAAATGTTAATTCTTCTAAAATTAGGGAAAAATTTATAAAATTTAACGAATGTTGTTATTAAGTAGATATATATTTACAGATTATAATTTCCAAAGCTTTTTACAAACTAACAAACAACAGTATATAAAAAAAAATATAATGTGTGTCAATAATAACACTGTAAATCAAATCTACGGAAGACCGGAAGTATCATGTGTGCAATAAAAAAAAAAACGTCATGCGGATTGAGTTTCCGTCTAGTATTTAACTTAAATACTGAATTTTTAATACAATTATTAGTTATTTCTTTAATTATAATAGATTTTTGCATATAAATTAAAATATTATAAAATTAGTTAAAAGCCGTATTCAGTTTCATAAATGTCCTCTCGAGATATAGATTTATTTTTGCAAAACACATGTGGAGAAGTTAATTTGATTTTTCAATTTCAACCGAGAAGGGTACCTACAAGTATCAGTATCATCTTATGAAATTTATATGATCTTATTAATCTCAGCTATGACATTTTTCCATAAATGAAATATCAAAATTAATAATAAAATGAATGGAAATACAAATAACACAGTCAAATGTAATAAATGTACATAAAATTATAGTATTTTATGTACACTTCTGATAAAATTTCATAAGAAAGGTACCTATAAATTAATTAGATACCTTTCTTATGATATATGAAATTTAATCTCCCTCTTAACAGTCTTATTTTATTTCCTTAAAAATAATGAGGTAAATAATTTGTTCACTTAAATGTAAATTATTTCACTTCTCTCCTGTAGAACAAATTAGCCTCACAGAATCTGTCAATATGTCATTCATCACCTGTCAAGTGACGCAAAAGTTTATGACCTGCTTTGTTTTTATTTTCGGTGTAGAAGCTAAGTTAAGCTTTGTTCAAAATATTTTAAACATAATTTTTGATTTTCTTAAATTAAATTTTCAAAAAATGCTAATTGATATTTAAAAGCATTTCAATGGAAAAAAAATGGTCAATTTTGCTGACTCAAAAAAAAAAAAAAAAAAAAAAAAAAAAGAAAAGAAAAGATTTTTAACAAATTTTGGACATGCTAGGAATGATTAAAAAATGTAAAAAATACCCCCAAAATACTTTGATCTTTCCTCTTAATAATAACAAACATTTAGACGATGAAATTTTTTTTTGCCAAGTCTGGCATCTTTTTCATCTTGCTATGCTCTGTTTTTAGCGATCTCATGAAGATACCTAGATTTAACATAGCTAAATAGAAACAAAATTGTGGAATTTAGTTACTTTTTTTAAACCTCAACTTAAGTTTGTTGACCCACAAAGATCAGAAAGAATTTTCCAAAAATCACTAAAAATTATATCACAAATTGGGATTTTAAATGATACTTTTTAGCAATCAAGTTCTTAACCATTTTAAGTAGGTACCTCCACTTTTTCCCTAAAAAAGCATATGATGATAAAAGCCCCTAAACTTGAGGAAAACAAAGTGTTGTCATCAAAGTATTTGTTATTTTTAGGAGGAAAAACCATATCTTTTGATCATTTTATTAATTTTTTAATCCTTTCTAGATTGTCCAAAGCTCTGGTTAAAAGTTTTGTTTTTTTTTTTGCATCAGTGTCCAAAGATTACTATGGTAATTTTACCATCTTTTGTGGTAAAAAAAGTTTTGGGAATTCAAAAAAAAAAAAAAAAAATTATTAAGGACATTTGTTTTAAACAATTGTTTCCATTTTTTTAAAGTTTTAATTATAATATAAAGTATCAGTTTATATATAAATCTCTTAAAATCCCACATTACTTTGATTGCATTAGGTGATATTATTAAGTAAAAACTATATTTATTAATCAAAAATTGCAAAGCTTAATACAAATCATTAGGCATCAAGATTTAAAAAAAAAATTTTTTTTTTAAATGTATATAAAATATTATATAACATGCCCATTTTAAAAGTCCTTGAGGGCATATGGCACAGTGGATAAAGGCGTTGGTTAGATCCAGTGACAGGACCCAAAGAGTGTGAGTTCAATACCCGGTTAAGGCAGTGGAGAACTTTCATAAGGAAAATTAGCAGGAGATAACTGACATCCATCAAACATGGCACGTGGAACTAGAACAGTCTACCTCGGTGAGCAAAATAAAGGGTTCAGTTCGAAATTCCAACCACCTGAAGAAGGCCGGAGCATACAACGGCTGAAACGTGATAAATATGGCGACAAAGATGAGGACAATAGTCCGAATAATGTACATAGTACCTCATCTCAGCAATATAGACAGACCAAGGATTTCCATTTTTGTCCAACTGCTTTTTCTTTTTTTCCCTCAGCCTCAAGGTATTGATTGTGTGCCGTTCTGGTATTGCGGCCAAATACTCCATGATAACGCACTGTGCGACCAGAGTCTGTGGTTTCATATTTTCAGTAGAAATTTCCTTATTAACCGAGAAACCTATATCCACTGAGACCTGCCCATGAGAGAGTACCAGCAATCTGCAAACAACTTCCAGTTTTTGATATTCTTTATTGCTAGACAAAGAAGGGTAGAACAAAGTGTCCAGACAGTTTTCAGGGTTGCAGAAATTCCTGAAAGCAATATTTTCAGCAGCAGCCTCAAACTCTTTGTACTGACTGATGATGTCATCACAATCCAACTTGCTGACTTATTTTCAGTCCACCATGTGAAAAAGACATCTTTTTAGACTATCTTCTGTAGCAGTCCCCCTCTGCCACAAATGGATCTAGGGTTCAGCCTTATAAGTGACCTTGCAAGAAGTAATCTAAGGGGAGACTTTACCAGAAGTTTCTCAATGACTGATTATTAACATTGTTACAATTCTGAAAGCAAACAGATCTTTTGTTGACATTTCCTTTTTTTGGGGGATAAATTTTGCATAGGCATATTTGCTAGAAATCCACACTATCTTTGCAGCATGTTCAGGTTTGACAAAATTATTACAAGTTAATTCAGTTTGGATAATGTAATTATCATTTTAGTGTGGTCTTCCTTTACAGATCTTAAGTTTCCTAATCATGCTAAAAAAGATCATCTGCAAGGAAAGGAAGCAATGGTTTATCACTGATATTTTACCAGAAATAGTTCAATGTCTTTTGAAACAGACACAAAAACCTGCAGTTGAAAATAAAACGTCATTCACATTTGACAGGTTATTTTTGGTACACCTTGTAGTTGGCTGTTTTTAAACATCTGTACACAAGCTAATCAACTCTGATAGACTTTTTTTAGTAACCAAGCATCACTGAACACACAATCACCTTTCTCCACAAATGGAAATACTGTAGTGTACAAGTAAGTGTTTCACTTTATATATGCTCCGCACACAAGGCAGAAATATAAAAGTAAAGGAAGAGTTGCCAGATTGAAATTTTAATATAAAAGATAAGCAATAAAAGCCAAAGAAGTTTTAAATACATTTCATCATTTTTTTTTCCACTTAAAACAAAAGCTAGAGATACAGGTCAATATTAGCTTGCCAACTTTAATAACATTCTTATTTTTTCAAAAGACATTTTTCTACCCTATCTTAAGACAATAAGATCAACAAAAGCACATTTTCTATTCTATCATCCTTCCCATCTGTATTTTCTCTGAGCAAAATTTGATTCTCAAACTTGTTACTTTTGGCAACAATTTAGACAAACATAATTTACAGATACGGATGCATAAAGTATCTTCATTCTTTCAGAATGAACTCACCCACCACTGACTAGATATCAAAAGGATTTTTTACATTTGAAATTGATATGTGAATAAAATTTCTTTTATTTATTCAAATTTTAAAAAAACACTGATAATTTTTTTTTTTTGAAGATTCTAAAATGTATTATATTACTGTTAAATTTATTTTCCTTTCAACTACAAATTCAATAATAAGTGGGAGTTAATTTATCTTTAACAGAGATGTTTACTCGTAACTGACGCCTTTTATCTTTGCTTTTCCTTCTTTCAGGTTGAGTGAGGGTAGCAGCTAGAAGACATGCCTTCATGTTCTTTCTCCATTTCTTTCTTGTCACCTAGACAATAAAAACTCATTCTAATCCAAGAAACAAACTACTTTTCGGAATAAATGACAAATATTACTGACAACTAGAGAAGAAAAAAAAAAAAACTCTTAAAAAAGGACAATTTTACCATGTAAAAAGAAAAAAGCCAGATTTCTGTGATTTGCCATTTTGACTTTCATGAATTGAGAAAAGTATGTGTGGGCAGCCCAATTTAAAAAATTCCAGGACTTTTTCAAGGAGTTTTGGGGCTATTGCCGTTTTTCCAAAGCCTGGAAAAGATACTGTCAATTTTCCAGGACCTGTACGAATTTTGTGAGATGTCCTCAAACGTATGCTAGCTGCAAGTTCAACTTACCTGAAGCAATTCTTTTTCACATTGTTTCTTAAGGGCCCGATAACGCTTCTCATCAGCAGATGACAACTCACCAGTTTCATCTTTCAATTGTTGCAGTTTCTGCAGCTCAGGCATGCTGCACATAGAAAAGAAAGAAAAAATATTCAGAAGATAAAATCTGATAAAAGAGAAAAAGAAAACCTCATGTAACAAAATTCTGCATTGTCAACCAGTTTCTGCAGTAGGAGAAAGAGGGGAAAAAAAAAAAAAAAAGTGTCTGGGCTCTACCTGTCCATGTTCCGGATCTGATTATGCAAGGCCAAAAAAGAGACTGGAGAATCAATGGCCTCTCTACTTTTGGCACACAATCGCACAACCTAGAGGGGAAAGGAAAGAAAAGAAAAAAAAGAAAAAGTATAATGTAAATAATTAAGTTTACATATTTTTTAGTACAAGTACTAAAAAAACAAAAAAAAACAAAAACAAAAAGACATGAAGTAATATAACCTAAATTAATGTAGTTAGATACAATTAGCCCTTGTACATGACTACTACACTTAAAGAATTGACTTTAACAGGTGATAAAAAGATTTTTTTTTTTTTTATTTCCAATGTACACAAGATAGCCCACAAAGTAATCAGACAAATACCTTTTAACTAAAGCAATTATACTAAAATAGTAGTTTTATTTATTTATCTGCTACAAGACCTTACAGAGTTTTGAAAAAAAAAAAAAAAAAAAAAAAATCTTTGGCTCCCATTTAAAAAGAGCAATCTTAATTGTGCTGTTACATTTGTACAAATCCTGTTCAATACTTACCTTCAATCCAGTTTTGTGAATTTTTTCAGTGAGTTGATCGACAGCAATATTTGATGGTGCACAGACCAACACAGGGCCATTGCCTTGCTTGACCAGATGATAGACAATGGTAGCAGATGTCACAGTTTTCCCAGTTCCTGGAGGTCCCTGGAATAAGAAAGTGGGAAGGCATAATTGGTAGATACCAATAATTTGGCCTTATGCAATGAGAATTATCAAAGTTTAAAATCAAACACTGAAAAGTCAAATTTAAAAAGTTGACTTAAACCAAAATTCAAAGTCATTGTGCACAAAAGCTAAATAGATCAAACATCTTTAAAAAAAAAAAAAATCTTTGAAAGTAATAAACGTCTCAGAGTTAAATATCTTAGCAAGAAACATCTCAAGTTACACTCCTGACATTTATTTAGCATGTAGAAAATAAGCTGAAGTTCGATATAATTTTAATCAAAGCTTGCTTCCTTGTCACACTTTTACAAAAGATCCCCTTTTTTCTATCCTCTGTGAATAGTATTTCAACCATCAATTTTGCCTGCTTCATTTTATTTTAGCTTTAAGAAAATTAGAAATTCTAAGTAATTCAAATGAACAACTACAAAATTTCAGGTTTCCTAGAGTCTACAATATGTTGGAGAGATGTTACTAAAGAAAAGCACATTGCAAATTCACTTCAGTATAATTTACAGCAAAATGTTGTGAAAATGAAAAAGCACATCTATTTTTAACTCAAATAATCATAAAATGATCAGTCAAGAGCTAGAAAACAGAAACGAGGTCAGAGTAGGTGGAGGAATCAAATGTGGTTTCTGCTTCATGTAGTTAAAACAGTTAGCAGTAGGGAAAGAAAACAGTTCTATGCCAAGGAATGTCAGCACTGTTGACATGGTCTACAATAAGCATTAGTAGAACTATAAACAGATAAAGTTATCTTCTCCTTACATACTTATAAATCATAAATACAATACAATCTTCCTATAAAAAGGAAAAAAAATGTGTCACCAGTGCCAATATTAAACTACGGACAAATTTACCTTTAGTTGACCTTTGACAACTAAATATTTTTGTTTACTAGTCAAATAGAAGTGTTACTAGCCAAATCCATGTAATGTTATTTCACTCTAACGTTATGAATAAAACAATTCCAGGTGAAGTTTTGTTTTATTTTCTAATTCTCTAAGACAATACAGACAAAATTTATGGGAGAAAATTTAGAAATTTCCAGAACAATTACAATTATTGGTCTGGCAAACACATACTGTGTCTTTGTGTTACTGACATTGAACTTATTTCTGTTTCAAACTGAAATTTTATCTTTTAAAATTTATAACTCCATTTGCCCAATATTGAATTGCATTTACCTTTTTATTCCAATTTCCAGTCCCACTTTAACACTTGCTGAATTTGAATTGTCAAATCAATAGCTTGTGACTAAATCTTTTTGTTTTCAAAAAGTACTGCTTTGTCCTTACACTTTCGATCAACAGACACAATGTTAGCTGGCCAATCACACTGTCCTGCCGCCACCCCCCCCCAAAGCAATCCTTCTCCTGCTGTTTGCCATCCACTTGTCAATGGATTTCTCTGGGTTGAATTCAACCAGATCTGGACCTTCAGAAGAAAGCAAGATTAAGTCTGAGTCTGTACAGACAAGCTGCGCCGTATGTCGCTCTTTATTCTCTTCTGTGCAGAAAAGGCTCTCTCACACTCTGCGGAGCTGATTGGAAGAGTGAGCATTATTCTCACAAGATGAAGTACATTGCAGAAGTCAGTCTTGTATGGATCCTTGGTCAGTAGGATTTGCCACAGATAAGAATAAGACTTGTCCCTGAAAGTATTTGCAACAAAGAATTTCATGTGTCTCCATTCCATCTGAACAACTTCCATATTGCATCCTGCAGCCACAAGAGGTTTTCTAAACCAGTCACAAATAATGTCTATTTCATGATTTCCAAAATGGACAAGTTCCCTTTTGCATTCTGGCCATGTGTCACGATTGAACACCTTAATGAAACTTTTCACCACACCTTGAGCATCTACACTTGTATTTGTTCCCAACAGATTTTGAAACCTTGACTCTAGTTCTTTGATTGTAATGTCAACTGTAGACTAGAACATGCTTCTTTTTTCTTTGGCCTCATAAAAAGGACTCCTGGTCATTTCAACTCCTTGAAATTTGGGATTACCCTGCAAATTTTCAGACTGTTGTTCTCCAATACACAGGATAAACTTTTCATACATTCCTCCTTCATACTTGAAACAGTTTCCATACAATCTTTAATTGATGCAACTGCTACAGGAAGAATCAGATTGTAGTTTTAGACTGAGCAAAGCTAGCTCGCCAAATAGATTGGATACGAAATGGCAAAATGCAGTGAATACAAGATCCTTCAATTGCTTGTTTATTTTCTTAGCTCTACCAGCAATGTCTGCAAGATTTTCCATGAGTGTAGACTGCTGCATACTGACCATGATCCTCAGCCAAATGACCATCTTTCTTTCCTTGGATAAAAGACTCATTGCCCTGTCTACATGGGGAATCCATCTGGTACCCTTCACTGGCACTGGTGAGTAGATTCTTGCTTCAAGTTCTTCTCCAATGATCGAGTTCTCTCTTGCTCTTTGGACTGAAGTGGTAAGTCTTCTATATCAAATGTAGACAGTCATTGACAGACTGCATAATAGGAGTCTGTTTTTGTAGTTTCAATAGGGCTAATTCAAGCCTATGTGCCATACAGTGAAAGTCTATGAGATGGGGAACATCCTGCCTTAACAGTGACAACACCATTCATCTGTCCTGTATTCACATTTGCCCCATCTGCACAAAACCCAACAATTCTCGATGACATTTCATCATCACTGATCCCCACTTTTAAAAGAGCAGATTTAGTAGCAGAGATAATGCATTTAGCATGGCCATGTTCAATGGCAATAACTTCAACAAGTTTATTTTCTGCTTTGCCATTCAACACTGTTCTCACATAAACCGCTTCATTTTCTGACAGAGCTGTCAGTGGCACCATCAATCATAACTAACACATAATGAGAGTCACCGATAGATTCCAATGTGTCATCTCTGATCATGCTTGCAATAGCAGACATCATTTCACCACACCTAACATTGTTACTGTATGCAGGTGTCACAGGTAGCCCATTTTTGTATTGAAGTAAGAGTAGAAACTTGAGTTTTGTAAAGGCAATTTCTTCCTTCCCTATACAATAAACTTAAATTTAACTTTCAAATCCATCAAATCTTTTTCGTTTGATTTGATTTCTGAATCAAGAAATTTCTTGGCAATGTGAGACTTTTCAATTGAGTGTTTGCTTGTTTTATTAAAGATAAAGTCGCGGCACTTGCCGTGTCTAAGACTTTTACTATGGGCAAGGACATTTTCATGTTTAAATTTAGTACTACCATCTACAAAATCAGTTTTTCCAGCCAAAGTTGAACCAGCCCTATAACAAAAATCACAATACGTCGTGTTATTTTTCTCTATTGTAACAAAGCCAGGCGAAAGTTGACACCCAAACTTGTCGGAATTCTCATACAATGGATGGCTTACTTTCATTTTGCGTGTCATTACTTTGTTTATCATTCGGGGCATCCTTTTGAGACTCAGTTTCAATGTTGCCATGTTTCTTTAAATCTTTGCCCATGCTCAGAAAGACTATTGTTCTATTAAACCTTATATTGTTTAAATAATTTGCTCGTTTTATTTATAAAAAAAAAAAAAAAAAAAGGTTGAACAGACATTTTTCACTCAGTAATGAGCTTTGGAAGATTGTCAGTGAAAAAAAACACAGTTGCCAAAATATAAACGTTTTATTATTTCTAGTCGCCACTTGGAGAGAAAAAAAAAAAAAAAAAAAAAATCACTTGCAAATGCGACTGTTTCACTCGCAGCGTAGAGCCCTGTATTAATTCCTTTTATGAGTGTTTATTTTAAAATGTGTGAATAAATTGAAAGAGAAATTTAATAAGGGACATTTTTGATCTAATAGTAAATGCTCACATATCAGAGGAAAAAGGTTTTTGAAGTTATAAAAAGATGAAAAATATTAAGACAACAAAGATGTATACATGGAAGTCATTTATAACCTGCACCCTCCACAGAACAGATTAATAAGCAGAAAAAAAAATTACAATGCTTGCCAATAAAGTTTTAAATGAAGAAAGAAATTAAAAAAAAAAAAAAAAAAAAAAAAGAAAAAAAAAAGCACAAAATACAAAAACTTTTAGCCACATAGAGGACTTTAATAAAGCAACTAATTTTTTCTGCAGTTACTTTGTTAAAGTCATGGTTTCTATAAAAAAATAAATTTCTTTTGTGACTTACTTGAATGAGGCTGAGAGGACGCTGCAGCACAGTTTTGACAGCATATACTTGGGAATGGTTCAGTTCAGGGAGGCCTGCAGCAGTAAAGCGCTTGGGCAGCTGACATTTCAGCACTGTATCCTCTACTTCATGGCCAAGAAGCTTATGATAGATGTAACCCCAGACAGAAGTTTCATCAACTGCAAACGTCTTCAAAGCTGCCTGCATTCTACAAAACAAGAATTACAATAAAAAAAAAAAAAAAACAAAACAAACAACACTTGCTAACTCCATTAAAAAGGAAATGCAGTCGCAATAGCAAATTTACCACCGGTTAATCTAGTCTAGAAATAGTCTGTTAACTAACAAATTAATTCTATATAAAACAACACGAGATCAGAATTATTTTATTCAGTATATTGTGACACCATTACAAGCATGGATTTTACAAGCAATTGAAATCAATAAGCTGGTAAGGATGAAGTTAACCATTAAAGTTTGCAGTGAGAGGAGGCCCGGAAGATTGAGATCATTTGAATATAAACAAATAGACATAGTTATCTTGGGTTTTATACAAAACTTATTTTGAATGAAACTTTGAAAGAGAAGAAAGACTAAATTTTAAAGAGAATCTAGAAGTCACACACACATGTTAATATCAATAAAGTTAACATTAGGAGAAAAAAAAAAAAAAAAAAAAATAGAAAAAGAGAGACAAACCCATGAGAAACTGATCAAATATGGATTTTTTTAGTAATAGCAAACATGCCCCACTCCCCAGTAAGAGATAGCAATGATGGAACTGGACAGAGCCAAATTTGAACAAAGTGTGGGATTTATTAATTATCTCTAGCTGGATGTGTAGGAAGTGTAATGTGTTCAAATCCCTACCCAGGATGTTGTGTTCACTTTCACACAAATGTACTTGGGAAAGGTATAAATCTCATCTATGGGTTAAACAGCAAGGTAGACAAGGCTCTAGAGCCTTGGTTGGCAGCTAGTCGAGGAGAAAGATAAGTCTAAATTCAAAAATTGGAGAAGACAACAGGAATTACTCCACTATCGTTCACAAGAAATAATGGAAATTCACAAATAAAGAAACAGTCTGTAGAGAGTCATGATTGTGTATGTCTTGAAGGGTACCCTAAGCTCTCATTGAGATATTAGTTTTGAACCTTTGAACAGTTGTTACTGAGAGAAGTAGCCAGGAGCTATAAACTACAGACTAACCACTAATCACATTCCTCTGTCACCTGCAAGACAAACTTATTAAAATATCAAAGTAAGATCAGATTTTCCAACTTAAGAATTTCTGATCACAGAAAAATTATGTTGAAAATCAAACACTGATTGCAGAGGCCAACACCATAGTTCCTGGATTATACTAAACCAAGTATCAATCTAACAAACCAGTGAATGCTGACTATAAGAACTGAGCAACTAGTTGTAGCTAGAAAAACACAATGCTACCACAGAAGGATTAATGAAAAAAACTTGTAAAAAATAGTTGAAGAAATAAATTATTTTTATTAAGAACAATTGTTTTCTACTATCTTGAAAATCAGTTGTTTTTTCTTCTAACTGGATTTGTTTAGTTAAGGCATTACAACCAAATTTACCCAAAAGATCTCTACATATGTAATACACACAATGTTGACAAAGTGATCAACTGATAGGGAGACCAAGCCATGGAGCAGAGGCAAATGGTCCTAATATTAACTTCACCTTAATTCTTAGTGATTTTTTTTTTTTTTTTTTTACAATAACCATCAATAAAATTAGTAGCTAAAGAATCCTCATCAAAATGAAAACTATTTTCAATAAAAGGGGGACAGAAAGAGAATAGAGAGACCCATCCTTTATACAGTCTTGCCAGATGGACATCTAATGAAAGTGAAATTAATATACTAAATTGAAAAGTAGTGGTTCAATAGAGCACTTAAGATTATCAAAGAGGGAACCATAACAGTAAGTCTAGTAATATATTTATGTGATAATTGGCTGTTTTTTTTTCTCTACTTAAAAAATAGTACTAACACTTACCTATCAAAAGAAGTAGACTTCCATACAAAGTCTACAACAAAATTGTGCGTGCACTCCACAGGTACACCAGCATTGCTCTTCAGTTCAATGGCTACTTCATCACTGTAATTATCAGGTATTTTTATGACATGCCCCACTCCAGACCAAGGTTTATGTAGCTCACCCAGGTAACGCAATCGCAGCTCATCACCATGCATCAGTTTCATCTCCTCATTGGCCTTCGGTAAGCGGAAGTAAGCAATTCGCTTCTTGTTCAATCCAACATCCCAACGGACAACAATGTTGTCTTGGGTCTGGGATTCCTTCAGTTTTTTGTCATAATCTGCTTCCAGTTTAACCAGAGGACCAAAGATATTTTGATACTGATATGCATCATCATATCTGGAATAAAATAATTTGAAATTTCAACTCATCTTCAATTTCAAGCAATTTTCACTTGTAATTATAAGAGGAAGAAAGTTTTTACCTTAACAAAACTTGTTGGGGTTCCTCATCCACTCCTGGTTTTTCAAGATCTTCCAGTTTGGCATCAGGGTTTTCCTTAAAAATATAACAATCATTTTTAAATCTAATATTTAAAAATTATTTTAGTTATAAAATTAAAAAGGCACGACAAAATTCTAGCTAGAGAAATCAAATACCCCACAACAAAAAAAATTAAACATGAAAATGCAATTATAGGATAAATAGCTGAAAAGTTATGTAAGCAAATATTTTAATAAATGTAGATTTATATTTAAGTTTCCAACTGACTGAACCAAAGAAAGATTGTGAGGGAGATATTATATATATATATATGTGTGTGTGTGTGTGTGTGTGTGCTACCAAACATATTTTAATATTCAAAATCTTAAATCAACAATACAAACCTTCCAGAGCTCCTCTAGTTTATTTATCTGCTGAGCAGAGATCTGGCGAGCTCGAAGTTGTTCTTGGTCAGATGGAATCTTTACCAACCAGCAGAGAAACTGACGATCTTGGATGAGGGGCTGCCACTGACTTGGATCCCTAAAGGGAAAACGGAGACAAATTACAGTAAACTGAAGTCATGACTTTTGGTAATCCAAACAACTCTCCATTTCAGAAATGGGTAGAGCCAAACAGAGTATTTATCAAAGCACTGAATACAACATAATTGATAAAACAACAACTTAAAACAGCTTTCTTCCTAAAGACTTACAGCAAAGAAAGACTAACCGTGGAAGTATACAAACAATCCTTGAAGAGCAAGTCCACTTCTAAAGGATAATTCTCAAGATATGAACAGTTGAAGAATCAATTTCTTTAGTTTTTAAAATTGAACAAAAATGGTTGGGGAAAATATAAATTGACAAATGTCTTAATTTCATTGAGTTTTTCTTTTCCCTTTAAAAAATTGATCTAGGAATGCTGCAACTAAACCTGTATTTAATGTTTAATATTATGATAATCACAACCCCCAACAGGCACACATACTCTCCATCCTCAGTAATTCAGCCACACTTTAAAAATATGCCCAATCAACTTGGTTTTGCTACAGAAGAATTAAAACCCTATTTCACAGATCACTGCTCCTGTACAAAGTTTCCTCCTTACAGAAGGTACTGTGCCAGAAGCTCAGTAAATAACTGTATTAAAGCTTTGATAAGTTTGTTGAGGTACAGATAAAACCATCTTTATATATAAAGTTCCTATTTGTAGACATTAGAAATGCTCCACACAAAAGACAATGAGCAAGTAATTTTGTTTCTTTTATAACCAATTTCTTATTTTGAATAATACAAGTGGAACTGGAAAGTGTCAATCAGAATGTACAGCAGACTAAAATGCCACATCCAGAATCAACTGTTAAATCCTTAACAGAAATAGGATTTAGATAAGATTTAATTAAAATGAATAATAATTCACACAAAATGAGAGGTTTTCTAAAAATAGACACATCAGAACAAACATAAAAGCTGAAAACAATGTATTGCCAAAGCTTATATGCTTGATTATTTTATTTAACAAAGTGCAAGTGTTGAGGCTGTTCAATGTGATAATTTGTAAAAGTTTGTAGGGCAAAATGATTAGATAAATTGCTTTCATTAAAAATAATGGAATGTTCTAAAACCACCAAACTAAAAACAATGAAGGAAAAAAAAAAAAAAAAAAAAAAAAAAAAAAAAAAAAAAACAGTAAAGAAATTACTTTACCATAATTTCATTAATGACAAGTATCAAAAAATCTGGATAGTTTTCTTACCAATTCATGTCTTTTAAGCTGCTTAAAGTAGCACAGGGTTGACGACAGAGAAGCACCACAACAGAATCTGCTTTGGCAGGGATAAAGCCAAGCAAAAAGACATTCCTGCAGCCACAATTGTAGCACTCAAGGACTGTTTCACCAAGTGGACCATCTTTGTGAAGAGTAACTTCTTTAGCCTTGGCACGCACCAAGTGATTAATGATATGACTGAAAGAAATAATTACATATGGTTAGGAGTGAGAGAGGAAAAAAAAAAAAAAAAAGTATAATTAAGGACACCTTCTCTCAATGCACACTGGAAAATTGTTAATACAATTATGGCAACCTATTTAAATAACCGATTTTTTTTTAACGAAAAAAAAAAAAAAAAAAAAAAAGAAATGAATAAAAAATACAAGCTTCACAAATTTTTTCAGAAATACTTTTAAATTTTTTTTTTTTGGAGGGGGGGAATTATAATAGAAATTTGAAGTTTACATTAAGCAACAAATTTTTTAAAAGTTAATCACAGGTAAAGCGTTAATAATTTTGCTAGGTATTAACTAAATGTTATGATAGGATTGCCGATATTCACTTTATCACTAACCTTTGAAACAATTTTAACATCTTAAAAAAATATTTAATAAAAAAATCAGTTTTTTTTTGTTTTAGATGCATTCATTTCTTACTAGTTTTTAAAAATTGGATGTATTTTCAGTTCCTTGAATTTAATCTTACAAATACTCACCTGCCAGAGGTATTACCACGTCCATTACAAAACCATTTCTTAGTTGTGTTGCAATAGACAACACACGCAGGATCATGAATTCCACAATATCTGAAAAGAGCATAATCATTATATGAGGCAGGTCCTAAAGATTCTCAGCCCAACCCGACTCCCAAAATTAAAATTTGTTTGGAAACCATTTTTGATCAGACAGGACTTTTCAGCACCCATTTAGTATTTAGGTAATATTCAGGTTACAATTATCTTAAGCCAAAGTCAATCACAAATAATTTATATAAAAAAAATCTAACACACACCACACTGAGAATGGCATACAGTTATCATAAAACCCATTTTAAACATTCTAAATGAAAGCTGAAGTTAATCCATTTCTAAGACATTAAACATTACATTCATTCAATTTAGTTCACATTTCAACAGTCAACTGTTTTGGCTTGTAGTTTTGTGTAATTTTGTTATATATTCCAAGTACTTTGATACAAAACTCTTCAGTCAGCTGACTTGAATGTCTAATTTATTGAATATTATAACTAGTTATCTATTGAGCACTTTTTGGTAGAAGTACTAACATTGAAAAAGAAAAAAAAAAAAAAAAAATGACTTCATAATTTTCACATTTTCTCAGTGGTATTAAGAAGAATGAAGAAAAAGCATATTCTCAAACAATGAAGATCAATTACAAGAATCAATATAAAAAAAGCTCTATTTAAAACAGAACACCTTTTGAAAAGAAACTTTTGTTGAGGCCAGAATAAAGTTCTGAAAAATAAATATTTTGATTCAAACTACTTTTTAAACATGTTACAAAAAAAGAAAAAAAAATTCTATTTTTAGATTTTATTTCATAACACCATAAAAACAGCTGATATAACTATATAATTGATGGTTTGCTGGTAATGTCCATGGTCAGATCAGAAATCAAAGCAACCAATGAATAAAAAAAAAAAAAAAAAACAATTAGAAAAGGAAGACATTTATGAATGCAAAATCTTGTCTAAGCTTTGCAATTTATTGGGATTTGGAAGTGCAATATTGTACATCCCACACTTGCTACATTTCATCATTAGATTCACACACAAAATATTTTACTGTAATCATATCTAATAATACAAAGTGATTATATCCAAAAATCATCAAGACCTTTTCTTGTGCATTTTTCTAAGTTGTTATAAGGATTAGAAAGAAAAATGGACAAATAAATTATTTTTCCTCAAATTCTAGTCACTAATTGTTCATGTCATTGTGATATTATTGCTAATTAAATTTTGACAATGTGTCAAGTTCAATATCTTAAACAAATCAATTATCTGGACTGACAAGACTACAATATCAAAAATGCTCACAAATTATAGAAGACAAATCTAAATTGATTAAGTTTTGTAAGAGTCATCCTAACACAACTTATTAATGCATTAAAATATATTCACACCTGCTCAGGAGGAAAACTTAGAATTGTAAAAGCAGTAGAACAGGTAGATATTTTAAAAGCAGTAGAATTAGATATTTAAAAGGAAAAAAAAAATAAATATTCATAAAAATTGTAGCATTTTCTATACAAATTCAGCAAATACATATCTCAAATCAGACAAAGCATAAAACCAATTTATTTTGCCTTCATTACGCAGGCATCCTAAAATCAGAACAAAAATCTGTGTGTGTGCCTGTGAGACAATATTAAATCAGTAATATCCATTTGTTAGGCTGCTGTCCTCCAGTCAAAATAGAATAAAATAGTGTGATTTTGTTCTAAAGCTGTTATTTTAATTTGTGAGGTAGATTGTCAATCTGTTTAGGTTTTGTGTTATTTATAACAGTTTACCACTTTGATTTATCAAACTTTTGTTTGGATTCAATACTTCAATAACACACACACACAGAGGAAAATGAAAAAAAAACTTTTTTTTAGTAGAGGCTCTGTTTATTTATTAAACTATATGTTTATTTTCACCTACCAGCCCGAGTGCAGAGGGAGCATCTTTTCTTTAATAAGATTCTTTAAATGTTCAGTCTAGTAAACAAAAATAAATATACTGTTTAATAAATAAATGGAGCATCTAATCAAATATCCACTAAAAATAATATTTAAGTGACAAAAACTGCCATAGTAGATAAAAATTCACATTATAAAAAAAATTATTATTGAGGAGAAAAGAAAACAGAGAAAAAAAAAAAAAGAGGAGAGAAAAGAAAAAAGAGAGAGAAAAAGAAAAACAGAGAGAGAAAGAGAGAAAAAGAAAAACAGAGAGGAGAGAAAAGAAAAACAGAGAGGAGAGAAAAGAAAAACAGAGAGGAGAGAAAAGAAAAACAGAGAGGAGAGAAAAGAAAAACAGAGAGGAGAGAAAAGAAAAACAGAGAGGAGAGAAAAGAAAAACAGAGAGGAGAGAAAAGAAAAACAGAGAAAAAACTTCAAGTGCATTTCCTCAGTATACTTTTTACAGTTTTTGCATTATCAGCAAAGTTGATATTGTCTTTGCTAGAAAGCTATAAGTTTCAAAGAAAATTTTGTTAACACCTTAGAAGTTGATTATATCAAACAACTGTAGCAAAATAGTTGCATAAAATTCAGATAAGAAAAGAAGAGATAATTTTTGGTCCATGTTTATTTAATATTGAACACCCAGATCTATGATTTAGTATCAAGTATTTTTCTTCTGATAACAGAAAGGGAAGGTCATTAACAGTATTATTCCACTTATAAGAAAGTTGGGTTACTACTCTATGACTTAACACTGCTGACTGACTCCCACCCCTCATTATCTCACATCCTAATGTGCATAAAAACAAGTTTTAACCTGTCTTAAAAGGTTCTATTTTGTCATTCATTCTAATGAGAATTAGATCCTGTAAAAATAGGATATATGCAAGTCAGCTATTTGCAATCATAACACAGACTAAGAAGTATCAAGAATGAATGACAAATTCAGTGTACAAAATGAAACTGATCAGAATTTTAGTATCAGATACAAAGAATAATAATGGTGGAAACAATAGATGAGGATGTAGATATAAGACCTGGCCACAGAACTAATTGTCAGATAGGTAAACCAGAATTTATTAAGAATTTGGCAGCTCAAAATATTTTAATTTGTGACAATTTCAGACTTACAATTAGGAAGACTCAAATAGGAAATAGTTTATGAAATACTTCAGCATGAACAAGATTAATGAAATGTCATACAAAACAAATCCAGACTATAAACTTTATGTGCTGGTGTAAAGTTCATAAATAAACTTAAACTAGAAAATGAGGTGACTCAGAACATGGTAGACATTAGAATTATATATTTGAAAATTATTGAAAAAAATGGAATGAGGGCCAGAAATTACATGTCAGAACACAAAATATTTTCTAATTATATTCTTTCCAAAGCCTAGTGAATTTAACATGGCTAATGTTAAGGCAATGTTTTAGACAAGAAATAATTTAGTCAATATAAATATTTGCAGCTCAAGTGTCCTAGTGATGAGCAACTTACACAAGTCCAGTAAACAGAGAATGTGAAAGGATCAAACTAAACAGCAGATCACTTTGAGAAGTTCCATTTTCAAAAACTTTGACAAGATGAAATTTGTACCAGAATATGGAAAAGAAAATTTTAGAAACAAAACTTAAAATTACAAGTAAAATTAAGTGCAGTCCCTCCTCCCACAGATACTTTAGTCATTGATGCTCATATTTTGGAAAATAATTGTATATGCTGTCTTGAAAAACTCGTTCTATAAAAGTGCCATCAATTTGCAATTCAGTGAAATCATCCCCCACCCCATGAATAACATGGCCTCATGCATAAGTGTAAGATTTGAGGTCATTTCAAAGGATTTCATTTAATGTACTGAAACAAAAGCTTTTTTTTTTTTTTTTATACATGTACAATTGGAAATAAAGCCAGTTTTACATTCTAAGTGTATTCTGTCTTTTGAAGAATTGAAGCCAAACATTTACGCATTACAATTCAAGTGTCATGTAATTTACATGGCAAATTTGCAGAGCATCAGATAACAAACCAGGGAGTTATGGCTAAAATACTGGCTTTTTAATAGTTTTTCATGATTTTTTTCGTTTTTTTTTTTCATTATTATGTGGGAAAGTGAGCAGCTCTAAAATGACACTATCTTATTTCTTGTATGATTGCAAAATTTTTGAAGAAAATTGTAAAAAAAAAAAAAAAAAAATGAGGAAGTTATTAAAGTTTTGATTTTTAAGTAGTATGAAAAACCCGTTTTTTCCTGCCAAACAGGGGTGGGGGGTCTGGACATTCGAAAAGTTGGTCTTGACCTTTCTTGGTAAATTTGCAAACTGTGTACCAATTTCAACAGAATTGGTCAAGAAATGTGGACGTGCATAAATAACACACACATACAGTGTGTGTGTGTGTGTGTGTGTGTCTCATTAAGCCCTTCATTTGACATGTGTGCCCAGTATGGTTTTGCTATTTCTGATTGTAAAAGTTTGTGTGAGATTATAATTGGGAATCAGTCATGTTTGTTTTTCTTTCCTGCCAAATTTTAAACAGTTCATAATTCCTAGGATTATTTCATCTTTCGGATTTGAGACATTTTGTTAGATTTCATGGCAGAATAACCAAGACACCAATATTGTTAGTAGCAGTATCCAGTGTTGTCAGTTATAATATCCACATTTATAACAGTATAACACCAATCTATTCAAATATAGCTTCTTCCTGTGTGTGGATGTACTCTATCATAAAGGACCTCATATGTTACTGCAAACACTCCCATGTACAATAACATATGATGAGATTCCAACAAGCCCCACCCCCTTCCACATCTCTATAAATGTAAGCAGTTATATTTGTATTGGTTTTAAATCAGGTAAAGAAAAATGTCTCACAATGTAGATACATTGGGAGTCATTTTTGAAAAAATGTACACCAAAAAAGTTGGATCCCATCTTCATAAGAGAGTGCAAATATATTTGTCTGAATTTCTGGGATGAAGAGTTAGCATTATTTACATGCAGACTATTGTCCTCAGCTTTATCACAATATTTCAGCCATTGTGTCCTCCGGTATCTATAAGATAGATGTCAATCCTGGTAAAATGCAGGGAATTTCAAACTGAACCTTTTATTTAACATTCCATTGTCCATGTCTAGGGATCTCTCTTCTACACCCTGTCTGAAATTATAAAGCTTATCATATAAGCTTCAATAATTCATATTTGGTTTTTGAAAAAAAAAAAAAAAAAAAAAAAAAAAAATTTGTCAAATTTTAAACTGGCAATTTAGATATCAAAAAGCCAGTGTTAAAACTAATTAGGTAGTATCAACATTTTACTGAAGTTATTTGAGGCATTCTAAATACATAAAAAATAAAAAAAATAAATAAATAGAAAAAAAATTTTTTAACTGTCATAGATTTTCCTAAAATTGTTCTGATATCTAAAAATTTGTATATCAATCCTCCCAATATAAGTGAACATTGAAGTCAACACTCGGAGACGACAGGCTGTTTCATGCCAGGCGTAATCGTCAGGCTGATTATATACATATATATTAAATAGGGTGTATTTCAGAAGCTATTAGACAAAACCAAATATTTTACTTCAATAAAAAGCTAATAAAATCATCCAAAATTGATCAACACCTATAATAGAACAAACAACACAAGTCTTTGAATCCTTTACATTTTTATATAGTGAACCTTTCTTCCCAATAACATGTTAAACCCTTCCCTTTAACCATGTCTCAACATATATTATGGACAAAAAGAAAGAAAAAAGTTTTTATTAGAATTCAGTCGTATTAAGCTAATATTAATTTAATCTGCATAACTTCAGTTAGTCCATTTTTGTAAATTCCAAATATCTCAAAAACTAACCATTAAAAATGGCAAAAAATTAAGTTAAATATTTTACAAAGGGTGGACATGGACAAATTTAAATTTGATAAATATTGGTTCAGAACTTTGAGTTATTAAGATTTGTATAATAACTTCAGACAGGCTGTAGTTCTTATTTTAGTACTGCTCAGTTATTGCTTGGCCAAGGGATTTAAATCAATTATGTCACTAAATTCATAAGCCAACAGTTAATTGACTAACAAGTCTTATGTTTGCACAAATACAATGGGGAAAAATATTTGAATCATGTAACATTCAACAGAAATTAAATACAAATAGAACTGAGCCAATAAATGATAAATACTGGAAATATAAGTAATAGGCAAACTTATAACTACTGGACATCAATGGAGAAGTGGCACAAACTCAAACAGGATTTATCAAGAGAATTTTAAGAGACCAAAGAAAGAGAAAAGAGTGGGGAGGGGTTAAATACTCACGCGCATGCATGCTTGGGCAAATCCTTCATGTAAAATTGCTCTTCTTCATCTTCTTCGAAATTCAATTCACCCACACCTTGGTTAATGGCACCAACATTTTTATCAAGCCCATTCTGGAATGGTCCATCAAGCACATCAATCTAAAGTGGGAAAAAGAAAAAGAAATCTGAATACTGGACAATACTTCAAATTCTTGAAGAATGAAGAAATTTGTTCAAATTTAAGAAAATGGAAAAAAAAAAAAAAAAGTTAGTGTAAAAACAAAAACAATGTAATTATTTTCCAGGTGAATGAAATCTATCAGAACTAGTTAACCATACAGAAAGGCTTTCACCAAAAATGAGTTTGTAATAATTACAATGGATGATTATTTTTTTTTTTTTTAAGGTTAATTCTTCACTTGTTTTAAAACCTGGTTACAATTTTAAATTTTAGACCACTGTTGGTAATTAACTTGCTATCATTTTAACTAACTTTCTACCTTGGGTGATTCTGGCCTTGTCTTGTATAGAAAAAAAAAAAAAAAAAAGATCCTAGGTAGCATCATACAATGGGAATTATAACTAGGAAGTAAGGCATCAAAGCAGCTTTTTTAATAACAAAAATTGCAATATGAGCACTGGTAAAAAAAAAAAAAAAAAAATGTTGAAGACATTAGGTTTATAATACCCATAAATTTATACACAGATGTGCTCAAGGACATATGGCACAGTGGATAAAGGCGTTTAGTTAGATCCAGTGACAGGACCCTTGTTAAGGCAGTAGAAAACTTGGAGAGGGGAATTAACAGGAGATAACTGACATCCATTAAACATGGAACTAGAACAGCCTACTCCAGTTTGACATTCCAACCACCTGAAGAAGGTCGGAGCATACAACGGCCGAAATGTTGTAATAAATATGGCAACAAAGATGAGGACAATAGTCTGAATAATGTAAATAGTGTACATAATACACTGATACAGCTTTTTTAAATTTTATATTCCGAGTTTCTATGGCATTTTAGAGGATGAGATCATTTCTTATAGGGGATTTTTCTTGTTTATGATACAATGTTATTTTTTTTTTTTTAACAGATGAAAGTTACCAAAAAAATAAAAAAAAATAAAAACTAA